GCCAGCACACACACCTCCACCTACACCTCTCACTGTGTTCATTAGTAGCAAAGTTCAGTTCATCTGGACTAGAGATTGTTCAGAATTGTTGAAAAGGTTGAAGCGTCTGCTTTCCTCTGTTCTTGTGAAGAGTCCTAATTTCAATCTTCCCTTCTTTTTACATATAGATGCGAGTTGTTATGCAGTGGGTGTTGTGCTGCTCCAACAGTCAACATCCACTGACATTCTCAATCCTATATGTTACTATTCATCTAAGCTTAAACGACACCAGAAAAATTATGCCAATATTGAGAAAGAGGCTCTAGCTCTTGTGGTGTCCTTGGAACATTTTGACAAGTATTTGGGCACTTCCCCATTTAAAATTTACATAATTTTATGCCCAAATACCTTTTGTTACTTGCTATGTCAAATTCAGTAAAGTAACTTAATCCCTCCAGCCCATATTAATTATATATACTCATGTCTAATTATTATATTTATATATTCACAGTATTGATATGTGTGTAAGGAGACAGAAGCTGAGTGATGAGTGGGTAGTGTTGTGTGGGCAATGTTACTGCGTGTGGCGAAACACTGTCCTGCCGCAGACCCCCCCCCTCACTACACACCTTAAGCTGTTTAATACTCAGATGTCCATACTGCATAGCATTCCACAACCACTACTTAAGAGTGAAATGCTGTCTCCTGTCTATAACACAAGACTATTATGCTGTCTACACTACTATGTTCGAGCCTCAACGTGTCAGGCTCATCTGCGTTATCCTGTCTCTGCAGTGATGTACATAACCACGAGTATGCGGAGATACGATACTGTGTACTGCCCTAGTACTAGGGGCTTATCTTATTGTATATATGCTGTGAAATTATAGAAGTGCTTGGCATAAGATTGACTCTTATATTTGTTTATATTAATTAGTAATATAACCTGAGTAATCAGTAATGTGAAAGACATTAATGCAACTCCTAGTGCGACCGTTTGTCGTGTTGGGGGGGGGGGGTGTTTGCAACCCCTGAATGGGTTGCAATGATTAATATATATATATATATATATATATATATATATATATATATTATATATATATATATATATATAATATATATATATATATAATTATTACCTTTTCATATAATTTTATATTGCTTGTATTTGTGATAATAGCCTAATCGTAAATGTATTGCTTTATATTGTTATATGACTTAGCTTCCTTTTGTTAGGTAGGATGTAACATATTATGTGCTCAGTTCAAGTCTTGATTGTCTAACTACTGTAATTATTGCTTGTGGCTCATTAGACTGTCGGCTTCTGTTTCTGAGCTGCAGCTGTCCACGGAGCTATCACGTGATCGAGGGGGGAGGTGTCCTCACCTCGCCTGAAGTATTCAGTCTGGTCTAGACTCTCTTGGTGGTTGGACAGATTGTCTGTCTCATTATTCTTGTTAGTTCTGTAGAACTCTGTTCACAGAACATTGTATAGACTTAGTGATTTTCGATGTTGTACTGAGGTTGTGTGTCACATAGACACTCTAAACAACTCAGGTCCTGAGCTGTAGCTTCTGACCTAACTTGTACTGGTATCTGTGTACTATCATAGTCGAGGATTTTCTTATGCTGAACTTAGATTCAGTAGTATGGGAGTTTTGTGACTTTTGTGGAGAATCTGCTGATGGTCCCTACTTAGTGTCGTTATATTATCTCCTTGTCCTGATTGTGTCGCAGTTGCTTGTTATATTGCTATTGGGCTTAGCATTCTTTTTATTGTTCAAGCAGACTGTTCTGATTGCCAGTTGGTTAAGAAGTTAGTTTATTTGAGGACTTTGTCAGTCACTTGTTTAAGTCTAGTCGAGTCGTGAGACATAGCGAACTACTTAGAGCACTTGCACACATACACACTTACTTGTACATATTTGTAATATCTTACTAAATGTTAATGTACCAGACGGTACTTAAGAATTATAAATGTGATATGTGCTTTCAGCACAATACTATTGTACATGAGAGAAGTGATTATTATTAATTGGTTTGAATTGATTAATTTAATTTAATTTGATGATATACCTCTAGACGATACTTAATAAATTTATTAAATTTTATTTTCTCTAGTTAGTAGCCTACCAGTTGTAATCCTGAAGCACTATTGAATCATACTGAATTCTAATGGAAATTGGACAAGGATACTGACTACTTGTTACAAAAACCCAGTAACAGGCTGGATGCTAGAAGGGCAGTCCTTTCTAGTATTCACTGGAGATCTCTAAGCTTTTAGAATCGCGTTTTTTGTAACAGCCGACTTCATGGGACTGAAAAATTACTTGGGTGGGCTAAATTGGGATGTCCTAACTATGGGTCAGGTAGGTGATCTTGGTTGCCAATATGACGTTTTTCAGAGCATAGTTCTAGCTGCCCAGACAATTTTTGTTCCGAGTAGGGAAATTAGATCTAACAAAAATGATCCCAAATGGATGAACAATATATTAAAACATCTCATTGATCAAAAGAGAGGCATATATAGTATCAAAAGAGGGGATGGGCAGTTAAGAAATCAATATATTCAATTAAAGAGAGAAAGAAAGGAATAAGAAAAGCAAAAAGAGATTATGAGGCTAAGGTCGCAAGGGATTCAAAGACTAACCCAAAAGGGTTCTTTCAGGTATACAGAAGTAAGATTAGGGACAAGATTGGCCCACTTAGGAGTAACTCTGGTCAGATCACTGACAGTGATAAGGATATGTGTGAAATTCTAAATACCTACTTCCTCTCAGTTTTCACCCAGGAAAATACTAGCGACATTCCTGAAATAATAGATTACGTAGAACAGGATGATAATAAACTATGTACGATTGCGGTAACTAGTGACATGGTCCTCAGACAAATAGAGAAACTAAAACCTAACAAATCCCCAGGTCCTGATGAACTGTTTGCAAGGGTGTTAAAGGAATGTAAAGAGGAACTTAGCATACCTTTGGCTAATCTTTTTAACATATCACTACAAACTTGCATAGTGCCTGATAAGTGGAAAATGGCAAATGTAATACCTATTTACAAGGCAGGTGACAGGTCCTTGGCTTCGAACTATAGACCAATAAGCCTTACCTCCACAGTGGGAAAATTTATGGAATCAATAATTGCCGCAGCAATTCGTAGCCATCTTGACAGGCACAGATTGATAAATGATTCTCAACACGGTTTTACAAAGGGGCGTTCCTGTCTTACGAATTTACTAACTTTTTTCACTAAGGTGTTTGAGGAGGTAGATCATGGTAATATGACATTGTGTATATGGACTTCAGTAAGGCTTTCAATAGAGTTCCACACCAGAGGCTATTGAGGAAACTTAGGGCACACGGAATAGGAGGAGAAATTTTTCCTGGGTAGAGGCATGGCTGACAAATAGACAGCAGAGTGTTAGCATAAATGGGGAGAAATCAAAATGGGGGCACGTCACAAGCAGTGTTTCTCAGGGGTCAGTGTTGGGCCCATTGTTGTTCACAATTTACTTAAACGACATAGATGAGGGAATAAATAGCGACATAAGCAAATTTGCTGATGACACCAAAACAGGCCGTCCAATTCATTCTAATGAGGACATTAGAGCACTCCAGGATGATTTGAATAGACTGATGCAATGGTCGGAGAAGTGGCAGATGCAGTTTAATATTGACAAATGCAAAGATCTAAATGTTGGACAGTTAAATAACCAAGCCACATATAAACTAAATAATGTAGATCTTAATACTACCGATTGCGAAAAGGATTTAGGAGTTCTGGTTAGCAGTAACCTAAAACCAAGACAACAGTGCATTAGTGTTCGCAATAAAGCTAACAGAATTCTTGGCTTCATATCTAGAAGTATAAATAATAGAAGTCCTCAGGTTGTTCTTCAACTCTATATATCCTTGGTTAGGCTTCATTTAGACTATGCTGCTCAGGTCTGGTCACGGTATTACAGAATGGATATAAATTCTCTGGAAAACGTACAAAGGAGGATGACAAAGATGATCCCATGTATCAGGAATCTTCCCTATGAGGATAGACTGAAGGCCCTGAATCTGCACTCTCTCGAAAGGCATAGAATTAGGGGGGATATGATTGAGGTGTATAAATGGAAAACAGGAATAAATAAAGGGGATGTAAATAGTGTGCTGAAAATTTCCAGCCAAGACAGGACTCGCAGCAATGGTTTCAAGTTGGAAAAATTCAGATTCAGTAAGGATATAGGAAAGCACTGGTTTGGTAATAGAGTTGTGGATGAGTGGAACAAACTCCCGAGTACAGTTATAGAGGCTAAAACGTTGTGTAGTTTTAAAAATAGGTTAGATAAATACATGAGTGGGTGTGGGTGGGTGTGAGTTGGACCTTACTAGTTTGTGCTGCTGGGTCTGGTACAGTGCTCCATCCTTGAGTGGAGGTGACCAGACTGGGTGGGTCATTGGGATAATCCGGGGGGTGGATCATTGGGATAATCCGGGGGGGGGACATGAACCTGCTCCACATGGGTCAGTAGGCCTGTTGCAGTGTTCCTTCTTTCTTATGTTCTTATACTCTTAAGTAATACTGTCATCAGTGTGTTGACAAGTGGCCTCAGTAACCTCGTGGCGGCTCCTCACTTCCTCTCCTCAAACCTCAAACTTAACATGTTTTTATTTACTGAACAATGCCACGTGGATACATACACTCACGCATAAAAAAAAATATTCTTAAAACTGACAATCATAAAGACGAAATCCTGAGATTAATACACCAAGCTATGTATATGCAAAATAAAAGGAGAGAGAGAGAGAGAGAGAGAGAGAGAGAGGGAGAGGGAGAGGGAGAGGGAGAGGGAGAGGGAGAGGGAGAGGGAGAGGGAGAGGGAGAGGGAGAGGGAGAGGGAGAGAGAGGGAGAGAGAGAGAGGGGGAGAGAGAGTCTAATAAAAGGCATCCTTCGTTTTCTAGAGTTCACAATTAGATATTTTTTTCACACGAGTTGTATGCATATTCATGTTAACTAACACTATACGTACCTTGGCTACAAAAGGAGATCCTTGAACTGGTTCCTTGTTGAAAGATATATTAATGGAATGATCGATGGCTTCCAGAGGGACAAAGGACACAGCGAACCTTAAGATAAAGATATACAGAATTACTTCGGGTCATTGTAAGTTCCTCGTTATTTAAAATAATAGATATACAGAATACGTCGGCGACTCTCAGTAATTTTGTCAGAATCTGAATTGTCACTACAAAGAAAAAAAATTATTTGCCTGTAAATGTTACATAAATACTAGGAAACCCCGAGTCTGGAGTTATAAGTTGTGAAGCTCCGCCAGAGAACTAGAGTGGTGCTCAAAATGGTATAAAATACCGACAAGTTGAAGATTAAAACACATGTGCAGCAGTTGGGTAACTTTATTGACGAAACGTTTCGCCTATACAGTAGGCGAAAAGTCAGTGTCTCCAAGGTTGATGGATTACGTCAATTTTATTTCACCACTACACATTTGAAGTCTACTGTGTAGGCGAAACGTTTCATCAATAAAGATACCCAACTGCTGCACATGTGTCTTAATCCAGAACTTGAGCGTGCTACTCAGGCCATCTCAGCCATGTACAATGAAGCTGGCAATGTATGTACAACTGGAAACCACCATGTAAACCATTTGTGACCCCTGATTTAGCTTCCTTCAGCTGCTCTCCAGTTCCACAGATATCATGCCTCAAGCCAGCCAGGAAGACCACAAACATCAGTCGAGACGATGAATCTAAATGTGTTTCTATGATCACTTCGCTAATGTCAAGTATTTGGAAGCATTAATTCCACAAGCAGTACACAGCTCCCGGGGGAAAGGAGAGGTGGGCAACATACCTGGCTGAGCCTTGAGGATGGACCTGCGTGGGTATGTTTCTGCCAGCTGCACTGATGCTGATCTCCAAATTGCCCTCGCCAGCCTCCGATGCGTCCACTGCAACCAGAAATAACTGATGATAACTACAAGATGTGGAAAAAGACATGTACACTTCAGGATATATATATACACAGAAATAAAATACAAAAACCTATTTAACAAACTTCTCATTTTATACAAATACTTAAAAAATGGTTAATATGTCATCATACACTAAACCTGCAGTATACTTGTCTCACCTACAAACTGAAGGCTTTTGCCAATAGCGCCTCTGGGCAGGTGGGACACTCCCACCTTGGAGGCGTCATACACTTTACAAGTGAAGGGAGTGCCAGAGACTGCAGACTCATTATAGTTAACAATGATAGTGTGGGCGCCCACCTCCACTGGTTTGAACTCTGCTATAAATCCTGCTCTCACACTGCCAGACACACGAACGGGCAGGGTGGTGTGGCTAGGGGCTGTAATGGGGTAAACAATATAATACTTCGTTAATCCTACACAGCATTCTCAATAAATACTTTAAGCAAAGTACCAGTTGAATTTAACATTTTAGCTAGAGATTTTAAAGTAGAAAGCCATGCGTAAAAGTCACACCCGCGGGAAGAGTGCTTACTTCTGACAGTGACTGTCAGCTCGGCAGAGCCGCCACCGTCCACGGAGATGTTGAAGGCTGCTGGTTGACCCACAGGGATGAGCTCCAGGTGACGCAGCGTCAGACTTACTCGCGATGTGTCTGCCACACGACACACGAAGGGACACCCACGCACTGTCTCCCCATTGAACTGTACCAACCATATACACGGTTGTTTAATGTCGGCGGGTAATTACACGTGGTAACAGTTAGAAATTGATTACATTCATTTATTGCAATTTTTGTTGTGCAAGACTGATGCTAAAACTGCCTGAGGAAAATGCTTATTGTGAATATTTTTTAAAATTATTTATTATATTCATGGGGTAGAGTTAATTCCGTAAGGGCACAGAGCGCCTGAGGATGGTAGTTCCAATTTCTCAGATTAAGAGCCTATCACTAATAATTTTTTACTAGAGAAAGATGGTCTGAGACCAAATAGAAGGCGACCCAGCACATAAGGGAGAGTGAGTGCGGGGACACACCTTGATGTCGATGGTGTGGATCTTAGCAGTGTCTGGCGTGAAGGACACCAGGCAGCGTCCACCACCCAGTACTTGCACGTGGTTGGGAACCTCACCATCATTGATGCTGATCTCCAGTTGTCCCTCACCAGCCTGTGACGCGTCCACTGTAAACACAACATTCACTCTCGTACCTCTAACAAATTACATGATCTTTCATTCACATACATAATGTAGTGCCGAATAGGTAAAACTGGTCAATTAGCAAGAACTCGTTTAAAATTAAGTCCTTTCTAAAACTTTCTTTTATACGTTTATAGATATATTTTTTTTATTTATGTTAATGTAAAAATTAATAATTCTGTACCAGAAGAAACTTAGAAAACTTATCTAACCTTAATATAACAAGCGCAATTTAATTTAGCCTAATCCATCTAAACATATTTTAGATAAGTTTATAATAATTTAACAATAAACAAACATAATGAAATATATTTTTTTCGTTAGGTTCAGAATTATTTTTGCGAAATTATTGCATACATATTGCATATGTATATATATATATTGTAGGAAATTAATCTCTACTCCAAAGTATATAAACTCAAAGTGATAGATAATTAAAAACACTAAACCCGCGAGGGTCATACAATGGGAGACAGGTTAAAGCTAAGGAACCTGAGGGTTCCTCTAATTCCTTGGATCAAGGAACCCACCTAGACAAGAGTGAAGGTGGTAGAGAGGAGAGGAAGTGACTGACCTCTGAACTGGCATGGCTGCCCCACCACACCGTTGGGCACGTCAGATACACGGATGAGACCTGCGTCGTACGCCTTAGCGATGAAGGGTGACCCTTGCACCTTCTGACCAGCCACGGCTACGTCCACTACGTACGACCCAACTTCCGTCGTCACGAACGCTACACGATACACATTTTCACCGCTCTCACTAAGCTGGTAGGAGACCGGGCGCTTGGCTGGACCTGGCGGAGAAATAAATGGTATAAAATACCGACACAATGGAAATATAAACACATATGCAGTATAATGTGATCCTTTATTGACTACGTTTCGCCCACACAGTGGGCTTTTTCAAGTCACAAACAGAACTACCTGGGGTGGAAGGATAGATAGAAGTAGATAGAAGTATCGGGAAGGGGGGTGGGGTGGCATTGTATGTCCGAGATCGCTTGAACTGTTGCATAAAAACGGGTATTAAGTCTGAAGTAACACATACAGAGTCTGTTTGGATAGAATTTTCAGAGGGGCATGAAAAATTAATTTTAGGTGTGATATACCGTCCCCCAAATTTAGATAGAGACCAGGGGAGACTACTATGGGAGGAAATTGTTAGGGCCACAAGGCACGATAATGTAGTAATTCTAGGAGACTTTAATTTTTAGTCATATTGATTGGAATTTCTTGACTGGGAATTTAGAATCATCGATTTTTAGAAGTAGTTCGGGATTGTTTTTTGAAGCAGTTTGTGACAGAACCTAAAAGGGGTAAAAACCTGTTGACTTAGTTCTGGCAAAAAATGAATCCCTTTTTAATAATTAGAAGTTTCAGAGGAACTGGGTGCTAGCGACCACAAATCAATTACATGTAGAATTGAATGGAAGTATGATAGTAGGGATAACTCAGTAACAGTCCCAGATTTCGCCCTTTGCAGATTACGATGGGCTTAGAGAACACTTATCATCTGTTGGGCTGGGGTAACGAAAAGAGCTATCAATATGACAGTTTTCTGAACACAATACATGCTGCTCAAAGAACGTTTTCCCTTATAAGGAAATTAGATCAAAAAGAAATGACCCAAAATGGAATGAATAATAGGCTGAATATCTACTAGGGCATAAGAAAGGAATTTTTTGGCGTATCAAAAGAGGCGAGGGTCATCTTATGAATCAGTATATTGACATTAAGAGGGACATTAAAAAGGGGATAAGAAAAGCTAAAAGGGACTATGAAATTAAAGTTGCTAGGGATTCTAAAACTAACCCAAAAAGTTTTTTCCAGGTCTTATAGAACAAAGTCAGAGATAAGATAGGCCCCCTTAAAAATAACTGTGGGCACCCTTATGACAAAGAGAATGAAATTGTGCTCGATTTTAAATAATTATTTTCTCTCAGTTTTTACACAGGAAGACACTAATAATATTCGGTTTAATTAAATTTTTATAGTGGATCAGAAGAAGATAAATTAGTAACATCACAGTCACTAGTGAAAGGGTTTGTGAAGCAGATAGACAGACTGAAGCAAAATAAGTCACCGGGTCCTGATGAGGTTTTTTCAAGGGTTCAAAATGGAATGCAAAATGGAAGTCTGTGAACCATTAACTAATATTTTAATTTATCTTTCAAACAGGTGCAGTGTTGTATGGGGAAAATTTTGGGCAAATTTGTAATTTTCCCATTTTTAAAACAGGGGACAAGTCGTTACCCTCAAATTACCCCAATAAGCCTGGGCCTCAATTGTAGGCAAATTACTAGAGTCAATTATTTGCTGGAGATTATAAGAAGCCCCTCTCGATAAGCATAGCTTGATTAATGACACTCAGCATGGATTCACAAGAGGGCCGGTCTTGTCTAACTAATTTATTAACTTTCTTCAGTAAAGCTTTTGAGGCTGTTGACCACGATAAAGAATTTGATATTATTTACTTAGATTTTAGTAAGGCATTTGATAGAGTTCCGCACCAAAGACTGTTGAGAAAATAGCGCTCATGGCATTGGGGGAAGGGTGCTCTCGTGGATCGAATCATGGCTCACAGACAGGAAGCAAAGAGTGTCCCTAAAAGGGGTTAAATCCCCAGGGGGGGGATCCCGTAACAAGTGGCGTTCCACAGGGGTCAGTCTTGGGGCCGTTGTTGTTTATAATATATATCAATGATCTTGATGAAGGAATTACTAGTGATATGAGCAAATTCGCCGATGACCGAAGATAGGTAGGAAAATTGATTCAAACGTAGATGTTAGGGAACTTCAGGAGGATTTAGAAACTCTTCTTTGGTCAGAAAAGTGGCAGATGCCCGTTTAATGTAGTAAATGCAAAGGGTTTTGAAGCTTGGGAGTGTCCATACCCTGCACTTATAAGTTAAATAAGTAGACTTAACCATACAGATGCGAAAAGGACTTGGGGGTTATGGTAAGCAGCAACCTTAACCAAGACAGAATGCAAGTTAGCAACTTTTTTCCAAAAACGTTCGCCTACAATTAGGTTCTTCAGTCGAATCGGGAAAGTGGCGGAACAGTAGAGTGTGAGACGATGAAATCAGTCCATCCCCCTTAAAAGTCGTAGAATTTGAGGTTGTCAGCCCCTCGGCCGGGAAATTTCAGTTCCATAGTCGGGAACTACTGAAGATCAAGCGACAGTGCGGAGACTTAAATATGTCGGAAGGAGAGGTGCAGGGAGTAGTAGTAGTAGTGTAAATAGTGTGAGAGGCAATGAGAGGTCATGTCCTCAATGTAATCAGCCCATCCCCCTTAAAGTGTAAAATTTGAGGTTGTCAGCCCTGGGCCCGGAGAATTTCGTTCCTAGTCAGGAACTACTGAGATAAGCGACAGTGGGAGTTAAATTTCTGTCGGAAGGAAGGTGCGGGGTTAGTGAGGTAGTAGTAGTAGTGAGAGGCAATGGAGGTCATGAGGGCATGACCTTCAGTTGCTCTCACTACACTATACTACTTACTCTACTCCCCTGCACTCTCCTTCCCCACAGATTTAAGTTCCGCACTGTCGCTTGATCTTTAGATGTTCCCGATAGGACTGAACTTTCCAGGCGAGGGGGGCTGACAACCTCAAATTCTACGACTTTAAGGGTGATGGACTGATTACATGTTTATTCTCTACTGTTCCTGCCCCACTTTTGTATTCGACTGAAGAGCTAATTTGTAGGCGAAAAAGTTTCGGAAAAAAGTTGTCTAACGTTTCATATGTGTCTTACTAAAAACCCCGTCGGTTTGTATACCATTTTGTGTTTAGCAATGCCTAAACGACGTAATAAGGCAAATAGTTATGGGATTTATATCAAGAAGTGTAAGCAACAGAAAATCCGAGGTCATACTGCAGCTTATACATCTTTAAGGCTCACCCAGATTATGCAGTTCATTCTGGTTCCATTTCAGAATGGACATAAATTCGTTAGAAAACTTTTAGTGTAGGATGACTAAATTAATACATAGCATTAGAAATCTTCCTTATGAAGAACGATTGAAGACTCTTAAGTTACATTCACTTGTTAGACGAAGAATGAGGGGAGAACCTGATCGAAGTGTATAAGTGGAAGATAGGTATTAATAAAGGGGATATTTAACAAGGTCTTGAGAATATCTCTCCAAGAGAGAACCCGCAGTAATGGATTTAAATTAGATAAGTTTAGATTTAGAAAGGACATAGGAAAGTATTGGTTTGGAAATAGGGTAGTAGATGAGTGGAAACAGTCTACCTAGTTGGGTTATTGAGGCTAGGACTTTGGGTAGTTTCAAATTTAGGTTGGATAAATACATGAGTGGGATGGGTTGGATTTGAGTGGGACTTGCACATCAGAGCTTATTTCTTGGGTAGCATTGAAAATTGGGTAGGTCAAATGTTTGTTAGTGGGATGAATTGTAAAGGACCTGCCTAGTATGGGCCAACAGGCCTGCTGCAGTGTTCCTCCTTTCTTATGTTCTTATATACTTGCGTTCCTTCCACCCCAGGTAGTTCTGTTTGTGACTTGAAAAAGCCCACTGTGTGGGCGAAACGTAGTCAATAAAGGATCACATTATACTGCATATGTGTTTATATTTCCACCTGGCGGAGACCTCAGGTGTTACTCTCAGTGTGAGAGTGTGCGTGTGCGTGTGCGTGTGTGTGTGTGTGTGTGTGTGTGTGTGTGTGTGTGTGTGTGTGTGTGTGGTGTGTGTGTGTGTGTCATCCACAACCATGGGTGTAATGGATGACACGTGACGGGTGTACAGGTAGTGATAACACTACTGTGAGCAACGCCTCCCCTCTAACAGTCACTCAAAGCCTCACTCCACATCATAATTCAACTTAGCGTCTGAAAGGTTTCGAAAACTTATCGTAGTTATGCCTCAGGGGTATCCCTCACAGGGCAGGTATCCACCGAGATATTCCTCACACTATGCAGTGACACCATTACGTTTCATCCAGGACTGGGCTTTACTTAATAAAGTAATCAAAGTTACACTGCAAATACTGTCTTTGTCACTACAAGTCACTGCCAGTTGGTCAGGTAACACGACGGTGTCTCCTTAAACTGATGAAATAAAGTACTGACCATCTCATATTTACATTTTTTGGGGGGCTGAGGGACTGACCATCTCGTATCTGCCTATCCACTATTTTAGTTGTCTCCTCTGTATTTCGAGTGAAGATGCCTGCCGAGCAGGCGAAACGTCTCTTTAATAAGAAACAAAGGTGTTGCACATGTCTCCTGACACTGTCTTAGTCAAACAATGACCTGAGAGTAATGAATCATCCACTGGCCTACCTACCCCAGCTACGTTAATATAGTCATTAACAATAATTCACTCCTAGTAGATTTCTAAGATGTGTCAGATACTGGATTAATGCGATACACAAATAACCCGCACATAGGAGACAAACTTAGATGTTTCGGCCTAAATTGGACCACCAGTTACAGTAATGCACATAAAATAAATTTAAACATGTTAAATATGTAATCTAGTAAAATGAACCTGCTTATATCAACATGATATTTGAGAATATTTATGACTCTTTAAATGTTTCACAGATTAATTGTTGCGCTTGGCAGAGAGGCGAAGATCGTGATGCGTGCAGCACTATGTAGGCCTCAAAGTTTTCCCTAGAAGACGTTGTTACTTACTATGTTGTCCTGGATGTTCCCATTGAAGACGTTGTTACTTACTATGTTGTCCTGGATGTTCCCATTGAAGACGTTGTTACTTACTATGTTGTCCTGGATGTTCCTATTGAAGACGTTGTTACTTACTATGTTAACATAAGAACATAAGAAAGAACATAAGAAAGGAGGAACACTGCAGCAGGCCTTTTGGCCCATACTAGGCAGGTCCTTTAGAATTCATCCCACTAACAAACATTTGACCAACCCAATTTTCAATGCTACCCAAGAAATAAGCTCTGATGTGCAAGTCCCTCTCAAATCCAACCCTTCCCACTCATGTATTTATCCAACCTAAATTTGAAACTACACAAAGTCCTAGCCTCAATAACCCAACTAGGTAGACTGTTCCACTCATCAACTACCCTATTTCCAAACCAATACTTTCCTATGTCCTTTCTAAATCTAAACTTATCTAATTTAAATCCATTACTGCGGGTTCTCTCTTGGAGAGATATCCTCAAGACCTTGTTAATATCCCCTTTATTAATACCTATCTTCCACTTATACACTTCGATCAGGTCTCCCCTCATTCTTCGTCTAACAAGTGAATGTAACTTAAGAGTCTTCAATCTTTCTTCATAAGGAAGATTTCTAATGCTATGTATTAGTTTAGTCATCCTACGCTGAATGTTTTCTAACGAATTTATGTCCATTCTGTAATATGGAGACCAGAATTGAGCTGCATAATCTAGGTGAGGCCTTACTAATGATGTATAAAGCTGCAGTATGACCTCTGGACTTCTGTTGCTTACACTTCTTGATATAAATCCCAGTAATCTATTTGCCTTATTACGTACGCTTAGGCATTGCTGTCTTGGTTTAAGGTTGCTGCTTACCATAACCCCTAAGTCCTTTTCGCAATCTGTATGGCTAAGTTCTACATTATTTAACTTATAAGTGCTAGGGTTATAGACACTCCCGAGCTTCAGAACCTTGCATTTATCCACATTGAACTGCATCTGCCACTTTTCTGACCAAGAGTAGAGTTTGTCTAAATCCTCCTGAAGTTCCCTAACATCTACGTTTGAATCAATTATCCTACCTATCTTCGTGTCATCGGCGAATTTGCTCATATCACTAGCAATTCCTTCATCAAGATCATTGATATATATTATAAACAACAACGGGCCCAAGACTGATCCCTGTGGAACGCCACTTGTTACTGATCCCCACTCGGATTTAACCCCATTTATGGACACTCTCTGCTTCCTGTCTGTGAGCCATGACTCGATCCACGAGAGCACCCTCCCCCAATGCCATGAGCTGCTACTTTCTTCAACAGTCTTTGGTGCGGAACTCTATCAAATGCCTTACTAAAATCTAAGTAAACAATATCAAATTCTTTATCGTGGTCAACAGCCTCAAAAGCTTTACTGAAAAAAGTTAATAAATTAGTTAGACAAGACCGGCCTTTGTGAATCCATGCTGAGTATCATTAATCAAGCTATGCTTATCGAGATGGCTTCTTATAATCTCAGCTATAATTGACTCTAGCAACTTGCCTACAATTGAGGTCAGGCTTATTGGGCGGTAATTTGACGGTAACGACTTGTCCCCTGTTTTAAAAATAGGAATTACATTAGCCATCTTCCACATATCAGACACTACACCTGTTTGAAGAGATAAATTAAAAATATTAGTTAATGGTTCACAGACTTCCATTTTGCATTCCTTAAGAACCCTTGAAAAAACCTCATCAGGACCCGGTGACTTATTTTGCTTCAGTCGGTCTATCTGCTTCGCAACCATTTCACTAGTGACTGTGATGTTACATAATTTATCTTCTTCTGATCCACTATAAAAATTAATTACCGGAATATTATTAGTGTCTTCCTGTGTAAAAACCGAGAGAAAATAATTATTTAAAATCGAGCACATTTCATTCTCTTTGTCAGTAAGATGCCCATAGTTATTTTTAAGGGGACCTATCTTATCTCTGACTTTTGTTCTATATACCTGGAAAAACTTTTTGGATTAGTTTTAGAATCCCTAGCAACTTTAATTTCATAGTCCCTTTTAGCTTTTCTTATCCCCTTTTTAATGTCCCTCTTAATGTCAATATACTGATTCATAAGATGACCCTCGCCTCTTTTGATACGCCTATAAATTCCTTTCTTAAGCCCTAGTAGATATTTCAGCCTATTATTCATCCATTTAGGGTCATTTCTATTTGATCTAATTTCCTTATAAGGGATAAACGTTCTTTGAGCAGCATGTATTTGTGTTCAGAAAACTGTCATATTGATAGCTCTCTTTCGTTACCCCAGTCAACAGAGATAAGTGTTCTCTAAGCCCATCGTAATCTGCTAAGCGAAAATCTGGGACTGTTACTGAGTTATCCTACTATCATACTTCCATTCAATTCTAAATGTAATTGATTTGTGGTCGCTAGCACCCAGTTCCTCTGAAACTTCTAAATTATTAACAAGGGATTCATTGTTTGCCAGAACTAAGTCAAGCAGGTTATTTCCCCTTGTAGGTTTTGTCACAAACTGCTTCAAAAAACAATCCTGAACTACTTCTAAGAAATCGTATGATTCTAAATTCCCAGTCAAGAAATTCCATCAATATGACTAAAGTTAAAGTCTCCTAGAATTACTACATTATCGTGCCTTGTGGCCCTAGCAATTTCCTCCCATAGTAGTCTCCCCTGGTCCCTATCTAAATTTGGGGGACGGTATATCACACCTAAAATTAATTTTTCATGCCCCTCTGAAAATTCTATCCAAACAGACTCTGTATGTGTTACTTCAGACTTAATACCCGTTTTTATGCAACAGTTCAAGCGATCTCGGACATACAATGCCACCCCACCCCCCTTCCCGATACTTCTATCTACTTGGAACAATTTAAAACCCTGAATGTGACATTCTGCAGGCATGTCCCGACTTTTTGAATTAAACCACGTCTCAGTAATGGCAAATACATCTATGTTACCTGCACTAGCAACTAGTCTCAACTCTCCCATCTTATTCCTAGCACTGCGACTATTTGTGTAATAAACTTTTAATGACCCTCCTCTCTCTTTACCCTTCCTGTTGTCCTGGATTTTCCCCTTGAAGACGTTGTTACTATGTGGACCTGGATGTTCCACTTGAAGACGTTGTTACTTACTATGTGGACCTGGATGTTCCCCTTGAAGACGTTGTTACTTAGTATGTAGACCTGGATGTTCCCCTTGAAGACGTTACTTACCATGTGTACCTGGATGTTCCCCTTGAAGACGTTGTTACTTACTATGTGGACCTGGATGTTCCCCTCGAAGACGTTGTTACTTACTATGTGGACCTGGATGTTTCCCTTGAAGACGTTGTTACTATGTGGTCCTGTATGTTTCCCTTGAAGACGTTGTTACTTACTATGTGGACCTGGATGTTCCCCTTGAAGACGTTGTTACTATGTGGACCTGGATGTTCCCCTTGAAGACGTTGTTACTATATGGGCCTGGATGTTCCCCTTGAAGACGTTGTTACTATGTGGACCTGGATGTTCCCCTTGAAGACGTTGTTACTATGTGGGCCTGGATGTTCCCCTTGAAGACGTTGTTACTATGTGGACCTGGATGTTCCCCTTGAAGACGTTGTTACTATGTGGACCTGGATGTTCCCCTTGAAGACGTTGTTACTATGTGGGCCTGGGTGTTCCAAATGAAGGCGTTGTTACTTAATATGTGGTTCTGGATGTTCCCCTTGAAGATGTTGTTACTATGTGGACCTGGATGCTCCCCATGAAGACGTTGTTACTTACTATGTGGACCTGGATGTTCCCCATGAAGACGTTGTTACTTACTATGTGGACCTGGATGTTCCAATTAAAGACGTTGTTACTTACTATGTGGGCCGCCTGGATGTCTTCCTTGAAGATGTTGCTACTTACTATGTGGGCCTGGATGACCTCCTAAGAGACGTTGTTACTTACTGACTATGTGGACCTGAATATCCTCCTTGGAGACGTTGGCAGCTGAGATGTCGAAAGCTGAGAGTTGTCCAGCGGGGAAGTGTTTGATACTGTCCCCCAGGACGGCCACACGGGCCCCACTACCCTCCATCACCTCCACACTCCACGGCGACCCTGCCAACACAGATACTCCATTAATACCACTTCAACACAAACATTAATACCACCTCAACATAAACACTAATACCACCTCAATACAAACTCTAGATGGGTACGAGTCGCTGCGTCATCCGAGAAAGGTATCCGGGTATTCGATAAGCCCAGCCTCCTCTACCTCACCTGGAGTTTACCTGGAGAGAGTTCCGGGGGTCAACGCCCCCGCGGCCCGGTCTGTGACCAGGCCTCCTGGTGGATCAGCGCCTGATCAACCAGGCTGTTGCTGCTGGCTGCACGCAAACCAACGTACGAGCCACAGCCCGGCTGATCAGGAACTGACTTTAGGTGCTTGTCCAGTGCCAGCTTGAAGACTGCCAGGGGTCTGTTGGTAATCCCCCTTATGTGTGCTGGGAGGCAGTTGAACAGTCTCGGGCCCCTGACACTTATTGTATGGTCTCTTAACGTGCTATTGACACCCCTGCTTTTCATTGGGGGGATGGTGCATCGTCTGCCAAGTCTTTTGCTTTCGTAGTGAGTGATTTTCGTGTGCAAGTTCGGTACTAGTCCCTCTAGGATTTTCCAGGTGTATATAATCATGTATCTCTCCCTCCTGCGTTCCAGGGAATACAGGTTTAGGAACCTCAAGCGCTCCCAGTAATTGAGGTGTTTTATCTCCGTTATGCGCGCCGTGAAGGTTCTCTGTACATTTTCTAGGTCAGCAATTTCACCTGCCTTGAAAGGTGCTGTTAGTGTGCAGCAATATTCCAGCCTAGATAGAACAAGTGACCTGAAGAGTGTCATCATGGGCTTGGCCTCCCTAGTTTTGAAGGTTCTCATTATCCATCCTGTCAGGCATAAGGGATAATGGAGGGTGGTTATACAATTATACTGTAGCAAAATATATAAAAAACATGTATACATGTATGTATACGTCTGTGTATGCATGTCCATGCACTTTTGTGTATGCATGATGCATGCATATGCACGTGTTTGTACATGAATTTATACTTTTCGTATATATGTGTGAATGTATGTGCACTTTTGTATGAACGTGCGTTTGTATATATGTGCATATTTATTGTGTTCATGTATGTGGGCGAATGTATATATTTATGTATGGATGAACACTTGTGCATATGTATATATGAATGTGTGTGGATACGTGTATCCACGTGCATACATACGTGCGTATGTATGCAAGTGACTATACATACATACGTACGTGTACGTGTGTACGCGCGCGCGCGCGCGCGTGTGTGTGTGTGTGTGTGTGTGTGTGTGTGTGTGTGTGTGTGTGTGTGTGTGTGTGTGTGTGTGTGTGTGTGTGTGTGTGTGTGTGTGTTAGAGTGTTGTAGCAGTGAAGACAGTCACTGGACAGTGCTCAGGGGTGACTCCTCCAGAATTAATGGGAGGCCTGGGCCGTGTGGGAGACACCTGAAACACCCTCCAGAAAGGAACGCCCTCCAGGTAGTTTCACCATGGCGTGGGTGGTAGTCACACCATACCCATGGTGTGGGTGGTAGTCACACCATACCCATGGTGTGGGTGGTAGTCACACCATACCCATGGTGTGGGTGGTAGTCACACCATACCCATGGTGTGGGTGGTAGTCAAAATAGTACTTACAGAGCCACATAATAATGGGTACAGGGACTGGGCAGCAAAGTTTTGACAGCTGAACAAGTTACTGTGGTAATGAACTCTTGGTATGTTTTTATCTGGGTACATTAGTAATGAGTTATTTAGGTACAATGAATTAAGTCACAAATATTACAATGTAGTTCATATGTGTGTGTTTTTAATTATTAATCTATGCTTGTCTTAATTATTTGCACAAAGTAATATTACCATAACCAAACTAATATTACCGAGCAGCTACCAGGTAGCTGGTCGTGCCCGGTGCCAGTACCAGCTGCTACCAGTGTTGTGGGTCCACATTATAGCAAGGCACGACTCACTAATTTACCCAACACAAATCTCCACTCAAGCATCTCTGAAAACGTTATGAAAGATGATCGAATTTCTCAGCAAGTTGTGCAACAGATTATGTACTGCCCTGAAGCAGGAGTCATGAATCAGAGGGGTGTGGGCGTGACCCAATAAGGTTACCTGGTGCCCCGCCCCGTCAAGCAGTCTAAGGTGGCTGTGGCGACCCCTGCCTGGCCTCCCCACTGTCTTCCTCGTGTGGCAATCCTCACAGCGGCCTCATTAACTACGCACCCAGGTGAAAGGTCAGTGCCAAGCGTGATGCATATGACCCCGAAGACTCGTCGAGGTGAAAGGTCAGCGACACTCCTGACGGATGTGCGACCCTCTGACATTCTTCTGACCGGTTCTGAGAGCTGTTCTACTGTCTCAGCCAGGCTTGTGGCCAGGCTTACCTGGTGACAGCCAGGCTTGTGGCCAGGCTTACCCGGTGACAGCCAGGCTTGTGGCCAGACTTGCTCGGTGACAGCTAGATCAACCAGGATATTACTGGGCTCCAGTTCCGGGACACAGCAATATCCAGTGTCTGTAATCTTTTAACTACTGTCAACAGTGAGTGATCCAACAAGGTGATCACAGCCCCGGGTGATCACAGCCCCGGGTGATCACAGCCCCGGGTGATCACAGCCCAGGGTGATCCAGCACCTTATGTAGATTTCTAACAGTGTGCCAGCAATACGTCTTACATCTTCTGAGAGCGAGTCGAGTCGAGGAGCACTGATGTTAACACTGTCTTCTCTAATGTTAAATATTGTTTTCGTGCGGAACTTGGGTTCAAGTCCCCCACGAACTTGCTGTAAGCACGAAAATATTAAACCATTTACAAATAACTTTAATTTGTCATCGATAAACATTTTTCTGTCGTAGCCTTAGGCTTAGTGGAACATTTTACTGATATCAAACCGAAGTTTCTTTGTCGGTTACTAAAGTAATATTCATCTTGTTTTAGTGTGATGAGAGTCAGCAGTGACAAGACCAACTCATGACATGCATGAAGTCTCAACCTGACACACAAGAGCGCTGACAGTGTCAGCAAGAGGAAAAAAACTACAATTTGAAAATAGAGAGTATAGACGGAAGTGCAGTGAAGGGAAGCCATGGATGTAAGTCTTAAGGATGACGAACCAAAGAGGTCAACTAATTTGACCTGACCTTAACATCACACATTCTATAACTAGGAAGATACCAAGAATCAGTTTTTTTGGTCTTATTTATTTATTTGAAAAATATATATAATAATTTTGAACGCCTTACAGCTATGAAAATCGGTAGCTGTTGCCCAAATGAACGTTCAACAGAGAGAAACAGCGTTGAAAAGGATAATAAGCTCACTACTGTGACGTCTGACAGTATAACACACAAAAGTATAATGTCCACACCCTGGGTTATGTCGTCGGGTCTTCCTGGAGAAAAAAAACAATGGATCTGGGCAACAGGTGTCTGCTTTCACAGTCAATATATGTGAAGTGAAAGATGTGAAGAATAATGATACTCGAGGCTGTGCTCTGTCTGACTTGACTTCTCATGAGAGAGGTCGACACAGCCTTACCACGAATAATTACACACTTGATGTTACATTGTGAAACATCACTGAGAGAGAGAGAGAGAGAGAGAGAGAGAAAGAGAGAGAGAGAGAGAGAGAGAGAGAGAGACGCATCCTTCACAACATAAAAATTCCCAGCAGACACAAGTGTTTGTGGTGGGTGTACAGTGTGTCTGGTTCTCACGGAAGTACAGTTACTGTATGTGCTAACGCTCTAATAACGCAACGCTCTAACAACGCAATGCAGTAATAACGTGCTCCAGCTCCCACCATTACCACCACTGGGTTTATGGAGTCATATAAGTGACTGGTGACTCAGTGGTAGTGTGTGGGGTTAACACCCGAACGCACCCGGGTACGATACCCGGGCAAGACGGAACGTAAGGGCACCTGCTGCTCTTTTTCACCTAGCAGTAAGTAGGCACGGTAGTGTTAGTCTGCTGGTGTGGGCAGGATCGTGGGGAGAGGACCAGAATGCACAAGCAGAAATAATTAAGCCAAATTACTTTGCTTTTATGAGTTAACATGGGTTAATATACTGGGTTAATGTACTGGGTTAATGTACTGGGTTAATGTACTGGGTTAATGTACTGGGTTAATGTACTGGGTTAATGTACTGGGTTAATATCCTGGGTTAATATCCCGAGTTAATAATTAGTATCTAAGAGTTAATAATCATGGGTTAACAGAGATAACCCGCACGTAAGAGAGAGGAACTTGCGATGAAGTTTGGTTCCCACTTGAACCATTAACAAAGTCACTCCCATGTGCGGGTTGTGTGAGCATTGTTCCAGTCACTGTATGGTGCCTTATTGTTCATCATGGGTTAATTGTCCAGGAACAATCTTGTACAGGTATAAACAATATTGAGTCAGTAGTCGTCACCAGTCATTATTTCAAATTTCACTGTGTTGTATCTCTAAGTTGTAAGGAACACTGTGTTGCATCTTCAAGTTGTAAGGAACACTGTGTTGCATCTCTAAGTTGTAAGGAACACTGTGTTGCATCTTCAAGCTGTAAGGAACACTGTGTTACATCTCTAAGTTGTAAGGAACACTGTGTTGCATCTCTAAGTTGTAAGGAACACTGTGTTGCATCTTCAAGTTGTAAGGAATACTGTGTTACATCTCTAAGTTGTAAGGAACACTGTGTTGCATCTTCAAGCTGTAAGGAACACTGTGTTGCATCTCCAAGTTGTAAGGAACACTGTGTTGCATCTCCAAGTTGTAAGGAACACTGTGTTGCATCTCCAAGTTGTAAGGAACACTGTGTTGCATCTCCAAGTTGTAAGGAACACTGTGTTGCATCTCCAAGTTGTAAGGAACACTGTGTTGCATCTCCAAGTTGTAAGGAACACTGTGTTGCATCTCCAAGTTGTAAGGAACACTGTGTTGCATCTCCAAGTTGTAAGGAACACTGTGTTGCATCTCCAAGTTGTAAGGAACACTGTGTTGCATCTTCAAGTTGTAAGGAACACTGTGTTACATCT